AAACAAGTTTTTATGTTTGAATATGCCAAACTCAACTAAGTACTCATTTTAAAGTTAATAGATATTCAATCAACAGATGTAACGCAAATACTTACTAATACTCTTGAGGTCAACATTATCTGGACCGGATACAAAGATCGAGAATGCACCTATGTTATTGTGCATATACGTTGCCACAACCAATATATATGTGATACTAGTCTCAAGAGCAACTGTGAATCTAAACCGACGTTGATTGCGGTCGTTATTGTCTAAGAGCCGATTTTCATATGGATCCGATGGAGTGAAATAATCTTCGTAAATATCGCCATATGTGTCCATATTGCTTCTGCTCAAGAAAGTGTAAAGACCACTTTTACGAACATTCACTTGTATCGCTTCATAGTAAGAACTTGATAACCCACAAACAACGAAATACTTTGAACTGCTCGTTGTTAATTCTGATGCATAAACTGTTTGAAGAACTAATGAAGTATTCACTAACGAAAAAGAAAATCGATTCAGTTTTGTATAATATGGAAATAAATGCAAACAATTTGAAATATTTCTTTCTCTCTCAAATACATTTACCGAAAGCTACTGGAAGTGATATGAATCTTGCTCTCTATTGAACAGAAATATCTGTATATCGTTTTGAAGACTGAGTTTATCTATAATTATTTTCTACCTATGACGGATATGTGCAATTGATTATCCATTAAAATACTATAGGTACTCACAAATTCGATTGAAATTAACATAGCTTTGACCAAACACTTGAATTGAAACATTTCCTGTTATATTCGGAGAAGATGTTGTGATAATGAAAACGTATTTCATATTAGCTTCAAGAACAGCTGCGAGTTGAAATTGGCTTCGATTAAAAGAGTCTCCATTACGGCTCAGGATATTTTTGGACACATTGAATGGATTGAAATTATTTGTGTAGATATAAGCGTACATGGTTTTCATCGTACTGTTGATTAGAAAAGTATAATAACCAGTTACAGTGACGTTCATTTGTATCTCTTCATAATACGAACCAAACTCTGAACAATCTTGAAAATAAATTGCACTATTTGGTGTCAACGATGATAAATACATTGATTTTATTAGTGATGAGTTATCTATTGAATAAAAAACGCAATGAATATTTGCATTTAGAATAAAGAAAAGAAATGATTTCGCATATTTTTAGTTTGCTTTTCACTCTGTTTATTAATGAGAGTTGAATCGTTTGTTTTAGAGAAATGGTTTTAATAGAGAAATAAAGAAAAACATCAAATAAAATACCTATTTAGCGTTCTTCCAATAAGTATCGATATTAGCTCTTAAAATCCGCATGTTCTTTCCAGGAGACATTATAATAATTCCAATAAACAAATATTATAAAACCTCGTATACAAAAACGAGTATTATTCCGGACTAAGAAAGTCTGGTAAGTCATAGACTTAGAAATTTATGACTTCTTCATTATCATCTTTATCTTCGAATTTTTCTTGTTATATAAATATAATCCAGGACATTAGTTTTTTTTTATCAATATCACTAAGTATAATAATAAAATAAACTATTTGATGAAACTATTTCATAAAGTTGTAGTCAATCTACGAGTATGGCATGACATCATCAAAAAAATGTCGATTGGAAGTAACTTTTGATCCATTGTTAAAATATTACAAGAGCGACTCTTCAATTATTTTTGATTCTAATAACGCATGTCTTGAATAAATAGCTTAGGATGGAACTTTTCCCTTCTTCTCGTTATTGGCATTTTTCGATAAAGACACTGACCTACATTTAAATGTCACTCCTTTGTGATGATCCCGACTCTATTCTCGTTCGTCAACCAAAATCACGACCGGAAATATAATATAATCGTTCTCTCATCTCGCGAGTAAAGGTGATATTCTGAATCTCTATGATTACGCCACGAGTTGTAGTTAATACTCGAGCATAGGGTCATTTCTCTCTCTCATGACAGATGTTTTATATCTACGACTTTGAAAGTACATTGGACAACTATGCAAAACGACTTTTGTTGATTTCAAAGCAGCTTGTGAAAATTTTTTTATTCTCAAATATGGATTTCGGTGCGAAAAGTTTTTCTTCACGTCAATATTTATTTTCGAAGTGTTTTTAGTTCGATAAAGATTTAATGAATTGCGATGAACACATTACTCCTCATGAGTGTCTTTCGTTTCATAAAATCATTGTGTTCATTATTTTCTACAGTCAGCGGCGTTAAGTGAGCGCAGAGAATGGTGAATCAAAGAATATTTATAAAGAAAATTCAACAAAAAAGACTGAAGTCATCTCTGACTTTCCTACTAAATACATAGACATCCTAACTTCCATCTGTATAATGCAGCTAACATGACGATAATGTTATCGATTGACTTTTATAGAAAATTATGAATAAGAAAAGTTTTTTATTTATAACTATACTATGTTAGGATGAAACTTGAAATTTGAATTTAACTATGCAATAATTTGGTTCGAAACCCCGCAGAAGTTTCATTTTCATCTTCTATAGAAGTTTTTCTTTTTAATTTTCTCTGGGAAAATCTTGATTGAAACGGTGTTAGAGGCTTTATTCGATCATTCTAAACGTACCACATGATTCTTTGAATAATTGAAATTTTTGAATTCGATGATTCCATCGATCAGTAACAAAGATGTTTCCATAGTGATCAAAACTAAAACTTAGTGGATAATACAATTGATTGGATTGTGAACCCTCTCCATAACATCCAACTAAACATCGAAAACCATTCAAGCCTGAACCAATAATGCGACCATTACTGTGATCCAAAATGAATAAATACTTCTCTGTGTCTAATATAACTCCAGTAGGAGAGGTAAGTGTAATTGTTGGATTTAGTGATTTACTTCCAACTACTGTGATACCATTTGATTCTCCTGACTGAAACAGCTGAATTCGATGATTTCCACAATCTGCCACATATAAATCCAAATTCATATCAACAAAGATCCCAGTAGGATAATAAAGTTGATTCGAGGCCGATCCTCTACTACCTGTTCCAGCAGCAACACGATTTGAAGTCATCACAGCATCATTTAATGATCTTTTCACTACTTGATGATGATCAGGCATTGAACAATAAAGAGTATCATAGATATCGACAAACAAACCGGCACATGGTGAATTGACATTCATCACTGTGACAAAGGTACTCGTTTCTGCTATCCATTTCTGTACTCGACCATTCTTATCACCATCACCAATATAAATATCATCATTCGATGTCACGAACAGAGATCGCAATCCTGCAAAATTACCAGAAATTATCTTTGTTGGATTGACACTCTCTTCTTGCCATATTACAACTGCGTTATTTTCTTGATTACCGACATAGATTGTGTTGTTTTTGTTCACAAAAATGATGGTAGGATATTGACCAACAATCGATTGATTAGCAGAGGTAATTCCATTAGAACTCCAAGTGGCTGTTGAACAAAACTTCGGCTGATTGAATGAAAGAACTAAAACGAGAAAAATAGAAAGAATATTAGAGAAGAGCTGTTGTAAACGAAATGAAATTGTTTAATTTATATATTTGTAGAAGAAAAATAAAGTTGCTTCAAGGAACTTTTTCATGAAAAAGATATTTAGAAATGTTTGTTAACATTGATTTTAGAAATGATTTTTATTAATCTTCATATGTAATATGAATTGTGATATTGCTAAAATATTTTTGTTTAAAGGGTGTGGGTGGGTGTGGATATAATTATGAAATATAAAGTTAAATTATAGAATAATTTATATTAAAACTATATCGTCAAAGATATAAATAGATTTTTTTTTAACAAAAAACTGTCTCATTGATGAAATGTTCTTTGAGACATTTGAAATGAAACATGAAAACCCTTTCTACCATTCCATTAAGAACACAACTTTTTCTTTCTCTATTCTCTAATCTCAGCAAAAAAGGTGAAGATTGTTCGCCTTAGATGATTGACAAATAGGTTTGTCTAATCTGATCATTTCATTTCCTTAGACACATTAGTTTAATTAATCTTTCTCAACCAGTTTTGTTTTCTTTCATTTGTTATATTAGATTGTCTTTATTAACTTTTATTACTTATCTATTCACATCTCTTCATTTTATTCAACTTTTCTTCAACTTACCAAAAGAATCTTTCATCAGTACAAATTTTTGAATTCGATGATTATCTTGATCAGTAACAAACATGTTTCCAGAACGATCGAAACTAAAACTAAATGGTTTGTTCAACTGATTGGATCTTGTGCCCCTTCCATAACATCCAACTAAACATCGAAAACCATTCAAGCCTGAACCAATAATGCGACTATTTTCTCTATCCACAATGAATAAATACTTCTCTGCGTCTAATATAACTCCACTGGGACATTTAAGTATAATTGTTGGATTTAGTGATGTATTTCCAGCTACTGTGATGCCATTTGATTCTCCTGACTGAAACAGCTGAATTCGATGATTTCCACAATCTGCCACATATAAATCCAAATTCATATCAACAAAGATTCCAGTAGGATAATAAAGTTGATTCGAGGCTGATCCTTTAATACCTGTTCCAGCAGCAGCATGATTTGAACTCATTATAGCATTATTCAATGATCTTTTCAATACTTGATGATGATCGTACATTGAACAGTAAAGAATATCATTGATATCGACAAACAAACCGGCACATGATGAGTTGACATTCATCACCGTGTCAAATGTATTTGTTTCTGCTATCCATCTCTGCACTCGACCATTCTTATCACCATCATCAATATAAATATCGCCATTTGATGTCACGAAGAGAGAAGTGGGTTTTGTGTAATTACCATAAATGATCTTTGTTATATTGACACTTTCTTCATGCCATATTATAATTGTGTTATTTTCTTGATTAGCGACATAGATTGTGTTGTTTGTGTTCACAAAAATAGCGCAAGGCTCTTTACCAACAATCGATTGATTAGCAAAAGTAATTCCATTAGAATTCCAAATGGGTGTTGGAGAAAACTTTGGCTGATTGAATGAAAGAGCTAAAAACAAAAATAGAAAGAATATTGGACAAGAATTATAAACGAAATGAAATTGTTAATTTATGTTTTTTCTTGGAAAAATTCATTGAGATTACTTTTGAAAAGATTTCTATGATTGTTGTTGTATTATCTCGGGTGATTTATAAATATCAACCAAGAGAGAACTGAATTCATCGAAGAAGATCAACTTTATTTATTGATTTTTTTTGTTGTAAAAGGAAAATAATTATGTTTGATCCTTGAAAAAATATGATTCTCATTGAAGACAAAATAAAATAATCATAGTATTTTTTATATAATGAAAATGATCTGTATGGGATAAATGACTCTACATCTTATCTCAAACCAAAATAATCAAATAGTTTTACAAAAATTTGTTTTCATTTACATTAATCTGTTGCTCTTTTCTTTGTTTTGAATTTTGATTTCATCTGAAAAAGTCAATTCATCCTTTTCTTTGCATGTTATAATGCAATATGATGAAATAGATTTCTTTCCTTTGTCTCGTGTCTCTTTCTCGTTTCAAGATCTACAAATAAATTTGATATTAAGAGAAGATTTCAGTAATGTTCACGTTGTCAATCGTTTTAAAACTATCAACCAATATTCCAACTTATACTTTTAAACTCAAAGTACACTCATTCTTCAAACCACAAAAAGTCTCACATAACCACTGCAAGAGATCAATACTATCCCTTTTCAATATATAATAGAAGTTCCTGTTAAATTCTATAATCTATTATTTCACTCTATTTTATTCAACTAAAACTAAAGAATACTGCCATTTTTGTGCATTAGTTGATCTTCAGTATGTGATAAATAAAAGTATTTACCTGATGTTTCATTGTTGAGAATGAACATAAGAATAATGATAGATACGTAGATATTCCACATCATTCAACAAGATTTTTCTTTTTGATAAATTAGTTAACTAATAAAATAATCTTCTTCTTCTTCTTTTGTCTTCGATGAAAACAAAATGACTCGCAGTGTAAGTTTTCTCTCTATTTATATCTCTCTCTTTTTCTCTCATTCATTTCTTCCAACATAGCACACAAAGAGAAAAAATAGTGTTCTAGAGAAGGTTTTGTCCATCCTAGATAAGATAAAAAATTGATTTTAGATTGGATTAATGAATAAAATTGATCATCTCATTTGATTCTTTTCGAAATTCGAAAGCACACAATGAAATTTAAATTCGACATGATCCTTTTCTTTTTGATTTTATATAAAAATCTTCGAGTTTATTGAGGAAGAACGTGATAAATAGAAAAGAGAATTGGTGAAAATCTGCATCAGTCATCGGACGTGTTTTTACTGAAAATAAGATATCAACTATCACCGTCAATAAATGATAGACATCAATGAATAAGTCATGATTAGTCTGATATCTTTTTTTATTTGATTCTGTTAAATAATCTGCTTTGTCAGGATTCACTTTCAATCACGTTCTTTATTACTCTACGCAATAAGTATCTATGAGAAAAGATTTTTCTTTGAATATGTCAATGTATTTTTAAGTAAAAACTCATCAGATATATAAAAGGGCTGTGGGTGTGGATGAGAGATGACTATACCTTCCACATTTCTACTCATGCCCACATACTCACACCCCTCATTACATCCAAAACATTGTTAACTAATTTGAAAAAAATATTTATCTTATAAAATAATTGAAAATCAACAACGTTTGATTTTTCAAACAATTTATTACTATGTTAAGATGTTTTATCACGAAAGTCAAAATAAATAACAATTACTGGCATACACACACAAAATATAGATATATTAAATATATTATAAAAAAAA